GTATTAGTATTGTTGTTGTTGCCCATTTGGAGTTGTGGTTGTATGTTTAGAGTAAATGGTGTAATAGGGCCCAAAGGACTTGTATTTTCTTTGTTGTTGTTTGTTGTGTAGTTGTCGCTACTCATTTTTCGTTTTATGTTTGTTGTTTGTAGTGTGTGCCTTGTGTTGTGTTTAGGTTTTGTAGAGCAGTCTGTATTTTATTTATTTAATTAATTATAGTTTGAACGTATTTTGGATTGTTGTTTGTATTTTCTCCTATATAAATATATTTAAAATATATTTATTATATTTTTTTATATTAAATAAATATTAAAAAAATATAGTTAGTATATTTTTAAAATAAAATTACAACAATTAATATAAAATATTTTTGTTATATTTTTATTATATTAAGTATATATTAAAAATAGTGATTTATTTTATAGTGCTATAGCATTATAATGCTATAGCACTATAGTGCTATCTTTTTTATTTATATTTTTATTTTAATTTTTTATATATTTTTATACTGTAAAATTATATACATAATAATTATCACCTACTCTTGCGTCACTATAAAAAATTTCACTGTCATATGAGAATCTGCATAATTTATCCAATAGCGAGTCTCACTTTGATATAACATTATACAAGCAAGAAGATCAAAACAAAATGTTCATTTTTTAAAATTTTGTATAGTGCTTTAACAAAAAAATTCCTTGATCAATTTTACTATATGCCTTGCTAATATTTAACTTCATCATAAGCACTAACCCTAACTTAAACGAACTTAAAGATTTTTATGTGATATTTTATTGTCACGTGACAGTGAATTTTGGTGGTGATGCAGAGTGAAATATAATATAGTGATCAATCGAACCCTAAGCCTGATTAGAGTTTGGAATTAGTTTTATTTTTCTTATATTAAATGTATGAAAATAAACCAGTTTCAAACTTCTTTTCTAATTACTTATAGCTAATATTAACCCTAACAACCCTAATATAAAAAAGTGCAAGAGATGTTATACTAATACTGGGCAAGCCCTAATTTGCAACTATGTAGTAAAACTCATTAACTAATGCACATACACTTAGCTAGTATATATAAAATATCGAATGTAATACGTACTAAGTACGTATTTCTGATTATAACAAAACTGGTTTATATTTAGTGTTACTAACATAAGATTTCACTATCATGTAGTTAAATTAACACTTTTCATTATGATAAGCAAAATTGAGTAAGCCACGCATTATTATCAGCAAAATTTTAGATTAGTAGCTCTATATTTGATATTCAATATTGTATTGAACAATTCAATAACAACTTAAATGATGCCAAAAAAACCATTATAAACTAAAAATTAGAATGTCGATTTTTTTGATATCACTCTTATTTACAATATTCAACTGCAATTATTTAATAGTACATACTTACCAATATTACTATTATTGTCATTGAGAACAAGTTACCCGGTTATGACCAGTACCTCCACAAATCTTACAGTGTAACTTGCATTTTGCTTTTTTTGATGATTCATTAGCATGTCGTATTCTATCAGTTTCCTTAAGCTGACCCTTACTCTTACCCTTATGAAGATTCATTAACACTTTTGGATCAAACTTCTTTTTTCTGATTTTACTAGTATTATCTTCACTTTTACTATTTGAATTGCTGTTTAAACCAACATCACTATCATTATTAGAAGATAGTTCTCAGCAATCATCCAAATATTTATCAAGAATAGAAATAAAATTGTAATCATTTTTTCGAACAGCTACCATTAAAGCTGCTTTTGCTTTTTCACATACTTTTCCATACAGTTTACACTCATTTATTGTCTTTCGGTTTATATTCTGCATTTCTAAAATAGCATCTTGATTTAAAGAACAAAGATAAAGAACTGAACCACTCCAACTCATTATAACTGACTGTTCCATCCTGAATTTTTGTGCAACTAAAAATGGTTCTTGTGCCGAATTACTACTAGTTTCATTATACCATCTTGATCTTATAAGCTGAATATGAAATGTTGTGCTTGTGTACACAGCATTACCTGAAAAAAATGATAACAAACAATTCCACGATTACAATGATCAAAACAAGAGCATAAATGCATTCTATCATTTAAGAGTATTACAAAATGCTGTGTTTCATTTGATATAACACATCAAACTCCCCACATTTCTACAACCTTGTCTGTATCAATAAGATCAAGCATTGACTTGACAATAATATTAGTAAGATTTTCACTGTATAAAGCAGAATCATCCAAATTTATCTGCAACATTAAATAAATTTGATCTGTTAAATCATTATTACTTACTAAAATAAGTTACATTACTGGTAATGATAGGTTACTACAAGATTAACTGGTTGTATATAGTAACAAAATTGATTACTTACAGTAAGAAATCTTAGCAGTTCTTCTAAACTACTATCGTAGCATGATATATTTTTTTTTTTTTTGGTGTTAAGGTAGGATCTTGCCCATGACTTTATTTATTAATAATACTTTACATGTATCATCACATCTTCCGTATTACATATATCAAGTACACCAAGCTCAGACCTGGATCCTATTGGTAACCTACGCTCTAGCCAAAACCATCACTTGCGTGATAGGTGTCCCCATCCGCTACCGGCCACCAATCCAATTATCTGCAATCCAAACCTACCAGAGTGGCACGTCATCATCAACCTACTCACCCGGTATTTTACCACCCTTCACGAGTCCTATTTCAGTACACTTCCCTATGACGTCATTCCCACATCTCTCATACCACTTATACCTAAGCTCCCAAATTTAGTAATCCCTACTGGGATATGGCCTCGTATCCTCAAGGACTACTTCTAATCTTAGTTATCTTCAGCTAGCCTGCTCAGGTGAGTTCTACAAGTAGGCTCCATGCTGATCCAGGATAAGCCTCATCATTAATGCCTAGTTTAGTTAGTATGCTGCTGATTCCCGTTACTTTATAGGTAGATACTCCTGTGTGTTGGTGCAGGCTGCCGTGTTGCGTTATAGATTACCTATAACTTCCAGATTGCGGGTTTCATATCGTAATACTTCCAATTTCAGTGTTTGGTGTTCCTTATCAATTTCTGATATACAAGCCTGATTTGTACAATTGTACTACCAGCCCGGTGAATCCAGCCATTTCGAGTTATTACTACGTACCCCGAGTTTCAGCCTTCTCGCTCTGTCATCACAGGTTTCTTCCTTAATAGACCAAGTGCTTGGGGCCAGAGGTGCTTCCGAACTCCGGATGGACCAATCTTTATCACAAATCATCCTCGTGTTCACTACTTTTCTCACTACTCCAGTTTTGTTACTTTTGTGTTACTCTCCCAATCAAGTATCCCAACCGCTGGAGATGTTGATGCTGCCCCGGTCACCCCTAATCGAGGACTAACATGTGCAACCTTCGTATAACAGAACCTTCCATGACTCATCATACGTAGTGCCACTGCTCCACGATTGGACCTCCTTCCAGAAATTTTCTTTTCCGGTTTCGTACTTGCACTTGGACTTAACCACAGAGCTCCGCATTCGATTATGGCCCCCTATTGGGTTACAGAAGCTAAAATCCTAAGATTTTGCCTCCAGCCTGACTTGAACCGTCGACCTAGTCTGTGGGGGTTTGGCAGCTTAACCGCTAAGCTATAGGGTCCAAACCCTATCGTAGCATAATATTGAAGTGATTGTTTTATTAGATCTTCCTGAATCTTAAGCATTTCCACAGTTAAATATTTTTGAAGCAATTTACAAACATTTGGAAGTATACTATCAGCTGCTGCAACCAAAGCTGCTTTAGGAACTAACACATGAAATAAAGCATATTCTGTTTTTTTGTCTTCTTCAAGAACATATATTGTCAATTTTTCCACAAGTTCTAACAGAGTTGTATTGGAATTAAATATTAATCTCTTAACCTTTGCATTATAGCTTTTAACCTGTGACATAGATGATATTCCTGCTATAAATAATTTAAGGACAAATGCCTTTGCCCATAATTTCTTATTTGCATAAAGCTGCTGCAAGTAATTAACCACACTCTCATTACTATACTTATCAAGCAGATGTTTTCACCAATATTCAAATATTGTAACAAAGCTGATTCGTTGCACTTCTAAGAAATCTTTAATAAAATCATCAAAATTGTCTTTAAGATGACTTTTCAAGTTTAAAGGAATATTTTGTGCAATGTGAAACATGTAATAAAGTGCATTTGTAGTTGAAAATTTATTACCTATTGCAGCAATTAAGGCAGGGTCTGCATCTGTAAAGATAATCTGTGGAATAGCTCTGTGTATTGCTTGTTTAATTTGCTGCAAAATCCAGCTATGTGTGTCTTTTGTCTCGTTATCTGTTAATGCTTGAGCCACAAGTCTGGAAGATAAATAGTTATCAACCACTAAAAAAAGCAACAACACCATCTCATAATGATTAGTAATGCTAGTATTATCATTCAAAACAACATTACTATACTTCGACCACCTTTCAATCTGATCAGGGGACATATAAAATAATCTGCGAAGACATTTACTATTAGGGTCTGATCCACTTCAACATACCACCTAAGATCAACTTCTTTCTTACTTAGTAACTCCTTATACAATTGGCTGGCATCATTAGTCTGGTTATATAATTTTGGATGAAACTATTGAATTACTTGTCGCAGAACTGGCATATAGACCTGAACAAAATATTTCTCTTCAAAAGCTTTACGAATTTGCTGGGGGCTACAATTTATCTTTGTCACAAAGAATTTAACATCCTCAGTTATTTCCGTTATAAATGTTATATTTTCCTGAAACTCAAAATGTGCTGGTTCAAGATCATAATTTTTATGTTCATTAATTAATTTTGCGACATATACAAGCTTGTGAGGGTTATCTTTCTCCGGGCATAACAAATTTACTTGCCATATGCATCTAACACGTTTTGTTGTTGTTTCTTTTTTTGGATCTTTGCTTTTTGTTGCTTCAAGGTGCCCAAAATGTTTACAAACTATTGTACGTCTTCAGATATCACTATTTTTTAATTTTTTAGTACAATAACACCATGTTCTAAATCCTTGCCTTTTTTTGTACTTTTTGACTTCATTCATAGCATGATCCCAGTCATAAAATATCATGTCTTCTCATAATTCATAACGTTGATTTATACTACTACTAACTTCAAATTCAGCTTGATTACTATTATACTGCCTGTCAGATGTATTATCTCCATACTCTTAGTTATGAAAAGTCATATTTGCTCCAAATTCTTCCTGGTAGACACCTTCTGAATTTATTATAAAATTGTCTTTAAATTCAATGCCAAATTCAGTTTGATCATCTTCGTGTTTGGTGTCAATTTCATTGGTCATATTATTCCAGGCCAGATATGTTACATTTGCTTAATGGTAGGTACTTACAAAATCTAGATGCATTACATTTGCTTGATGGTAGGTACTTGCAAAACATGGATACATTATATTTGCTTAATTGTAGATACTTGCAGAACCCACTATGATATTAGGTTCGTATTTAGTTTGGTTTTCATTATATAACTCATCAATATTAATGCCAATTTCATTCGTTATATAATCCAAACTATGAAATGTTACTATATTTACTTGAGCTTTCTTGTGTAATTCGATCTGATTAATATGCGTCAATATATTTGCTTAAGCTTTCTTGTAAAAGTTGATCTCTTTAATATGTAATATGTTGTTATTAATATCAAATTCTGCCATTTTGGTTACAGCTCTACTTGCATGAAAATATTAAACCAAGCTTTTTTTTTATTGTTATTTATAATGATCGGCATTAATTTATTAAACCATTTATTATAACCTTAATTACATCATAAAAAAAGATTACATCATAGTGCTATAGCACTATAATGCTATAGCTCTATAACAATATTTCCTAAAAAATATATTTAATATTTTTTTAAGGATAAATCTAACTATAACCGGTAGTGATAATTACCAGTATTACATGATATGCAAAAATATATCTTTGTACAACATTGTACATATATAGAAAAATATACTAACACAGCATACACGTGACTTAATGCATAACAAATTAGCCAAAATTAAACTAATTGATACAGCATAGCCGGCATTATAGTTAGGGTATGCAGAATTAGTTTCATGTATGCTGTGTTGGTATATTTTCCCTTGTATATACCTATATACATTAAGTTTGTATTACATAAGTATAATCTCTAAAATCAAGCCTTTGCATGTTTTTAGTATAATATGTAAAACAAGTTATTTGATGTATATATATACCGATACCTATATGTAATTACACAAGATTCATTATAGATTTTATATCTGACCTTCATATCTTAGTAAAGAAATCTTAGTTCTTTTAGATCGTTAAATACAATCGCTCTTTTATAAGCATATCTTCCATAAGCACATCTCATGCTTTCCTTTATAAATGTATATACATACATCATTTAACAGTCTAATGTGATTTATGTAACATGTATATGTGGATTACTAAATAAGCATGTATTTATAGAAGTTCATGTTCACAACAAATGACTAAACTCAGAAAAAGCATGTTGAAATTTATAAACATATATGCATAATACAAATCCAAGAAATGAGGAAGAATATAAAACACACATAAACACTAATAATCAGCCCTACATTGCTAAACAACAAATATCATATCAATATATGTAAATATTCTTTCTTTACACATATATATTAAAAAACCCTATTGGTTATTATTACACTTTCAAGCATTATGACCAGAATTCCTACACGTTTTATATACATACTTTTGTTTAACTGCATTTTCTTTTATATCTTGATTTATGTTAGCAGAGTTATTATCAAGAGTACTTAATGGGGTTCTTATCATTAATTGAGATAAATATTGCAAATTTTGCATTTGTTGTCTAGTAGTATATATTGATTGTATGTTGTTACTGCAGATATGTAAATTAGAATCGTTAGGATTAATTGCACTAGTTTTAGTTCCAATATAATATGAATCATTCTCTGTTGATAACTTGATACGTTTACTTGGTGGACGTCCACGCTGTTTTACCAAAGAGTCCAATATATATAAACTTCCACTGCTTTCATTATTAGTATTACTGATCTTATTTTTCTTCTGATTAATAAAATCGTTTATCATACCAATAAATTCATTCTCACAACCTATAGCTAGTGCAAAGTTAAGTGCTATTTTTGTCTTTTCAAAACCAGATATGTACTTGACTTTCTTTTATACATGCAATCTAACCTCATTCATGAAAGTATATGATGCTTTAAATTTGTCAAGTATGTGCAAATCAGGAACTACTGCACAACTAGTATCAGTATTTTGAAATAATGTCGTTATTCCAATAGTCTTCTAACAATTTAGTTAAATATTTCGATCATAAACATCTTCTTTAAACCATCATTTAGCTATAAGCCCAATATTAAATTTAGCTACTTTTGAATTCATTATAACATTAAAAAAATATGTATATACAAGCCCACAATTGATAATAGCTAAACAAGTACATAAATTTCCTCCATCATTAAGTAAAACAACATAATGTTTATATGCTGCTGTGAGTCCAAAAAGCTCCTATATCTCCAAAACATCAGTTAATTAGATTCCATCCATAAGATAATAAAAGTGTTGTTTGGGGTCTATCAAGTTGATCTTCAAGGAAGCTGACATCATAATCGAGTTGACTGGATCCTAAAAAGAAATTCATAAGCATTTATTACTTAAACATTAATAGTATCATTATTATAATATACTTCTTGTATAGGATTAATTGTCTCCTTAGGTATTAATCTTGCACGATATAATAAAAACCCAAGTATTTGTTGGCATTGAACAGATAGAATATGAGGAGGCAAATATTCTTTAAGTAATTTAAGTACCTCCGGAAATACTGGTTCAACAATAGAAGGTGCCTAATTTACTATAAGACTTTGAAGGTACAAATTATGCTGAGCCCATTTGGCTTTATGATCTAACAGTTTTTATATTATATTATATAAATTATATAATGATGATGAACTATTAATGCTATTTTTTATTATTCTATTTATCATTTTAACTCTTTGTATATTTTGGATTCTGGCTGTGAAGAATTTGACTTAAAAACATTTCACCTATGCCTTATAACAAGTTTGTAAAGTATGCTTAAAATAATTTTGTACTTGGAGATATTTTTCCAATAAATGAGCTCAGCGATGATAAAAATCATTTTCAAATAGGCTATTTCTAGTATAAAGAAATTCTTTATAAAATGCATCATAATTTTTACTCAATTTATATTGCAAATTCTTACGTAAATTCTCTTGTATAGTTAGACCTCCCTAAATGCACCCTTCCTAAATGCAGCACCTCCCTAAATGCATGATATATGCCAGAGCCCATGGTGGGACTTATAGATAAATGCACATTCTTTATTCTGTAAGTGCACACTAATTGTCTGGCCCACTTATAAAAACTTCTTCCATAAATGCATCCATGTGATTATTAACCAATCAAATCCATTATTCTAAGCTATTAAAGTCATGGTTATCACATGATAATAGTCACATAGTGATTTTATTAGTGTTCTTTAATTGCAACCCTCCCTAAATGCATGCTCTGAAGCTGGTCCCGACGATGTCACTTAGGGAGGTCTGCCTGTATATGAAAAATGCATAAGAAGTGATGAGTAGTAGGCATTTTTAATGCTACGGCATTGATTAAAGCAGGCTTGGAGTCAGTAAACAAACAAGTAGATGGAATATTATTTGTTACTTCGAGAATACAGCTGAGGAACCATTCATAACTTTCTGTTGTTTCATCATCCGATAAGCACTGAGCAACAAGTTGGCTTTTAGTGTTATTATCAATAACAACCAAAAAAGCTAGATACATATTAAACCAGTTCATCCAATATGTGTTATCTATTTACACCACATCATTATATCATATGAGGTGTTGTTTTTGAGTAGGAGACATCCAAAACAACCCTACAAGTCGATTATCAAATGGATTAAGCCTTGTTCTAATTATCAAGCCTGCTTCTTTTTCCTGCAAATTAAGCAATTTATCAATCATATGCTGAGTGTCTCCTTAGTGTTTGGTAAGGAGAGCCTTGAATTTTTGAACTATGTTATAAAGGTCTTGCTTGTATATTATTTGATTTGGGAAACTGGCAACCAATAAGGGATATATTTGTTTTGATACCATATTCCCTTTGGTAACATAGAACTTAATTTGTTCCATTATTTCATTTGATAATCGATGATATTTTGGAGCATATAAAGTTATATCGATATCATAGGATGTTTATACTTCCCAACTATACTTGTAATACCTACTACTAAAAAGGCTTTAGGTCTTGTTAAGTTTATGTGTCATGGGCACATGATTTTTTTAGACGGTCTTTGATGCTGTTGTACTGGATCGATTACTTGATTAGAAACAGGCTCATCAGAAAAACTACATTCAAATGTTCGTTGATAAACAACTCCATCCTTATCAACTTCAACTTGTTTATGACG